ATATATATATATATATATATATATATATATATATATATATATATAAGTGAATTACTTGGTAATTGTTGTTACAGCCGCGGCTTTTAATAGCGTCTTTGAGATACACGACGATATGCGGGGAAAATGCGGCGCGATGATTTAACGGGTTGTGCGTAACGGTGTGCAATTAGTTAGCCGTATCTCAAGAACGTGTCTGGCCATTCCGCTCTCACATTCGTATCTCTCATCTCGGCTCGGCCTAACCAGCAGACGCACAGCAGACGCGATTTCTTTCTTTCGTTCTCCCTCCCTGCCATTCTTTTCTCTCGCTCTCCGGTAATTATCACGAGTCTAACGCAGAAGAATCGACATAAGAGGCGGTAACTCGAAGAGCCTCCATCGTTCCGAGCGCTCTTCGTTTCAGGCAATTATAGCGGAATTTAAGCGTGCGACGAAGTGCAATCCCGTCCGTTCGTTGAGCGCAAATCGCGGGAGCGAAAGAAGAGTGTGATTTTGATTAACGTGCGCGCGTATCCTCGGCACGTATATTATTTTCAACATTGGGAAAGAATAAGCTCCCGAAGCGATTATGGCACTCTCGCGTAATGTATATTCGGCCAAATTAATGATTTAAAAAGACCTCTCTCCACGCAGTGCGTCAACCACACTTTTAGGGGAAGGAGATAATGGCGTTATTATTAGTTACGCGTTAACTGCGCATATGCTGTAAATGGTTGTTATATTTAATAAAAGAAGAATGTGTTGGCTGAGAAAGCGCTGTAATTAAATTTCAACAACGCGCTGCGATAGATCGATAATTGTTGCAGCAACGAATTAGATTAGCGAGATATCGGGAGAATCGTTGGTACACTTCAAGTAATCCTTGCGTTAACGGAACCTTTCATTTCTGATCTATGAAGATGCACAATGCGCAAAAATATATAAGGAAAAATGGACTCGCGAAATTTGTTACTAAAAGACAATGCGATAGAAGCAAAGTGCTTCGTTGATTCTTATATTCTCGTTTCAAATACGACAAATGCTTTCTTCCATTCAAATCGACAATCTAACATGAGAATTTGAACAACATAATTAAATTTTTGTTACAAGATTAGGTTAACAGGTTTTTTTTTTTATAAAACTGGGACAAAACTGGAATGTATATATGCTATAGATATTCTTTCAGCTACCCAGAGGATTATTTAACTGTATAATACGTGCGCGAACAGTTCTACTTCTGCTTGACAGATTAAAGTTCTTATTCTAAATTTCCTTTTAAATCGATAAAAATGTCATCAAATGTAACTTGTAAATTTTCTAATTGGTTTATAATCGCACTTAATGGCACTTTAATCGATAAGAGAGAGAAAAAGAGTTCAGAATAAGGACCTGAGTGTAAAAGCTAAATCAGAAGATAAATATGACCAAAAATATGTTGGGTCAACTTTATGATCTTTGAATTGAACTCAATTTTGTTTCATGCAAATAGAAAATTAAATGGATAAAACCTTATTGAAAGAATTAAAGCAATTAGTCTGCAAATAATATGCAATCTTAGAATAAAACTAATGCAATCTTAGGATTAAAAAATTCACTTAATTCGGTTTCGAGTTGTCTAATTTTAGCTTTTATAGATATCTTTCCGCGCGCGCATATAAATATTTCTCTCCCTGTACGTTATAACATTGTTAGCGCTATCTGATAAAATAGGATTTATCTAGCACTCGATATCGCGAGCAGATAAAATGTATGAGGAACGGTACCGTCACGGTGCGCCGGCGAAGCGTACGACTGCAAGAAAGAAAGAAGGAAAGAAAGAAAGACAGAAAGAAAGGGAGAGTGCACTCACCGTTGTTGAGGAGAGAAAGACTCCTGGTGAGAGATGATCGCTGATGATCCGTGGCCAGTCCTTACGCGAGGAGGACCGATGCAGCACTGACAGTTCCGCCGTCCCTCTCTGATTCACCCTACGTCTCCCTCTCCGTCTTTCTCCCACCCAGGCAAGAAGAGCAAGAGGGAGACGAAGAGTAAACGAGAAGGGTTTATGAACCCGCGAGAGAGAACGTTGGAGGGAGGAAGTGTCAGGTGAACGCGATATCCTGGCTAGAAATACGATGACCTTCGTGCAGGCCGGATCGTATGGTATCCCTGCACCGGACGGTGTCCTTGGAGGTAGGAGCTTTAGAACTGTAATGAAGATTCCAGGCGTTTCTTCGTGAAAAGTGATTTATCGCCATGACAGATCATCGAGCGACGATAGACTTGGTCATGCTTGATAAATGGAAGCCTTTAGGAGGTATTTTTACAGAGTGCTCTCTTTCTTTCTTTCTCTCTTTCTCGCATCAAAAGGCAAGGTCGATTATGTGTGTATTTGTGTGGGACAAATTGACACACACACAGATACATACATAATAGAATGTCTCTCTGTCTGTGTTCATGAAAAGAATATTACAGTTTTGTTACATAGAAATTCTTTTCAATTTTATTTTGTAATACTTTTAGTAGTCCAGGAAAATAGACAATCAGTAAAGTCTACCTTGTTAAGGAACACAGTAAATTTCTTTAGAAATATGACAATTGTTTTGCAATAGCATATTTTAGTTTCTAAAGTAGTACATACGAAACGAAAGGATGGTTTATCACTACAAAATGTCGATCTATTCCTCGGTTACAAAGTCCTATAGCAATTTTTATTATAAAATTCCCTCTGTATATAAACTTCTAAACTTTTATACCGATCTGGACTAAATTTGACGTAATTATTCTTTAAGATCTTGCGGGAAATATAGTCTACGTGAAACATCTAGACACCCCATGATTTCAACACCTTGACACTTGGTGATAATTTAAGTTTAGATATTCTAGATATAAGAAGCCGGATATAGTTCAAGTCAATATACATTTTTTCGCGCGCATTAACTTCGTATTCGCATTCTCTCCGCTAATCGCTCTCCGCTAATCAATCTGCGACAATGAGAGATGCAGGTTTCACGTAGAAACAATCGCGCGCGAAGTGTTGCCGGCTGCAACGGCGAGGCTGGTCGAGATCGACGACGGCTGCTCATCGATCTTCCGGAATACCGTGGGTATTCTTCCAAGAGTCATACGTCTTATTTGCGGAGAGACGTCCCGCTAATGCGCGGGGCAAACAATAGTCGTGATTATTTGCAAAGACACCGGCGCGTTCAGAGCGCGCTTAAAAACCTTCGCCGGCGAGATCTGTCCTTATGAGTTATGAATCACGAGAAATATATATATATATATATATATATATATATCATATGTGTATATATATATATATATATATATATATATATCTCATATGTATATATGACAAGATATATCTTTCTCTCGTCGGTGGTTAGGTCACAGCCATTCGCGATGACGAGATCCCGAGGAAGTCCGGCCGCCTTGTGCGCTTTCCAAGAGGAGCTTCATTTCTCGCGTATTTGTGTTCGTGATATTCGCAATATTAGAGAGGAGAGTTACCGGAATCGTACCGGTCTTCTAAATCACACCTCATTTTTTAGATGTTTTTGTAGCACGCACGCACCAAATAAGATATAACCTGAAATTGTTTGTTTCTATTTCTCGTTGTCCATTTATTTTTAACTTTTTGTTGTTAGCCCATATTCAATAATAATAAAGAAATTGATGTATTATTTAAGAGACCGGCACGATTTCAGTAACTCTCTCCTAAATATAATAAATATTCGGTATCTCAATATATATCCGGGCACCTGGATATATTCCCGTACTAATCTGAGTTTTCCGGATATTTTCTGGTTACCCAGTTATGTTGCAAATTACCCGAGTATTCGAGTACCGTGATTAAAGCTAGACGATACCTCGACACGTTACCGCTCGACTCAAGTCGGTGAAGAACGTGTTAATACACGAGCGAACGGTAATGCATTAATCCCGCAGTGAAGATCAATAACAGATGGCAGACGGATATTATACCCGGGTATTACCCGTGATTCTTGGTTTCGAGATGTCGGCTACTTAGTCATTTCGACGGTATGTCTGTCGGTTATACTGAGAGAAAAGATTGTTAATCTTCTCGCGAATTATAGTCATTTTCGGTATCAACTATGTCTTTTTGTTATCTTAATAAGAAAGTAAGAGCACTAGAGTATATTGAATCAAAATTATTTCATACTTTTGAGAGTTGACCTACTTTTTGAAGGTTTGTCTTGACTGTAATTATCTCACTGTGCATACAGTCGTGAACATCAAAAATACTTCTTTCTCAGGGTAGTATCCGCGAATTATAAATATTTGGTAGATAACCGTGCACATATACACAAGTACAGAAGTACAGAAATACAGAAATATAAAAACTACTCGCATCGTATCAATATTGATAAAAATAACCTTTTTAAAGCGGAGACTATGCAGCGTACACTGAGAGAAAAATATAGTTGCTTTTGGCGTCAACTATGCTTTTTTGTGATTTTAACCAGAAAATTAATTAGAAGAACCATTTTTCTAATAACACTTACTAAAACAATGGTTTTCCTAACTATTTTTATGATTAAAATCACAAAAGAGTGTGGTTGACGCCGAAAGCAACTGTATTTTTCTCTCAGTGTAGTGCAAATAGACGCACGTAAAAATTTCTACGAATTATTATCCTCGAAATTATTATCCTCAAATTCGAATCGTAAATCATAAAGGTTTCGTAGCGGGTCGGATCGCGCGACGCACACACGTCGGGCATTTTCACACTCCTACGAGTTATCGAGTGCGTCTGATCGCTTATGATAATGGAGTTTCAATATTCAGCAGGTGAGTAAGCGGCGGAGTCATCGAGTAACGTCTAATTCCAATTCCCCGTTCGTTCCACCTACCTTCGACTGTGCCTGGGGGCCAATATCGAGGACAATAATATTATTGCCCACGTCGCCCAACCGAGGCTATTACCTAGGCGCATTAACGAGCGCGAGTCTGATCGCCGGTAAAGTCATTTGCATCGGTTTACTTGATATTGCGTATATGTGAGATTATATAAGCTAGATACTTCCGGCGGACCGAATATTAACCCTCGTCCTGCGGCTAACCTCGGATTCATCCGTTTCGTTTCCAGGGTGTCGTCAGAAAGCACGTTATTTGGTCGTTTATTTGCCGGAAAGACACTAATTACGACAATTTCTCTTTCTTTTTCTGTCTGTCTTCTTGTCTTTTAGTCTATCTGTCTCTCTATCTCTCTGTCTTTCTGCCTATTTGTCTCTCTCTCTCCCTCTTTTCCTGTCTTCTTGTCTCTTTGTCTCTCCCTCTCTCTCCTCTTTTCCTCGGCACAATTTCGCTTGGGAAAAATGACGAGCTGCAGAACGTACGCGCATAGTTCTCGCGGCGTGCTCTAACCGCGAGATCCGCAGATGGTGCGGCATCTCGATTCCGTCTAAATAGAGATTTCGAGCTCGACCGTGAACTCCCTGCCGCGAGAGTATTAATTCGATATCCTTTAATTAACAGTTTCGTGCCGGTGCCCGAGTTAGCGACTTTATCGAAGACATCGCACCGAGTGTCCCACTGCCGTGCAACTGCCGCGATTGCTTGCGATTCGTTCGCTTCGGTATTGCGCGATAATTGAAATACGATGCTTGATGTCGATGTGTTTACATTCAAGAGTGATGAGAAAAGGACCGAGCATAGCGCGCAGAGAGCTTGAAGAGACAAAAGTATTTTCTTCTTTCTGTCTATTGGGAGAATAGATTCGTGTGGGGTGAGTGACAATTGAAGTACATATTAGTTCATCCTTGCTCTCGACTTCTTCTTCTCTTCCTTCCAAACGGTTGTTCTCGAGCGTTAAATTAACGGCTATGTCCGATGAAGCTCGATTGTCCATTTCGCTCTAGTCAAAGACCCGAGTAAATTTCCACTAACGCGGAATCAAGGGCCGGCAGGTACCATCTCATGATTACAACATTTTTGCTTTCGAGACCGCTCGCCCGGCTTTTGTTCAAATACGCTTTGTGCGACTGAACTTTCTCGCAAAGCAAACCCCTCGAATCGAGAGATGGGAGACAAAGCCGCGGCAAACTTTCCTGGAAAAAGATGTAATTTAACTCCTTCGTGGCAAGTGCGCGAATTGTTGACGGGAGCGCAAGAGCTTTGCGAATTTGTTTTAAAGGAGACGTGCGAATTCAATTTCGCAAGCGATTTTGCCTGAGGCTCTCTCCCCCTCTCTCTTTTTCTCGCTTTACGATAAATTTACGAATTATACCGCACGTCCTACGATCACGCGTTTCATTCATAGGAGTGGTGAGATGCATGAGGCGAGTCACGTTTATCTTTGCCATTGGTTTCTCTTGTTCACGTCGCGAAAATTATGTATACTGACATCCCTCGTGGGTGGCGGCGAACGTGTGACTCATTTCTTTTGGTTCATCGTTATATAAATCAGCGTTATATAAATCTTACATCATGTTTTCTTTTAGTTTCGAAGTGCGTGAGATCGATTCTTTCCCGTTTCCGCGATAGAGAAAGAGAAAATAGCACTTTGACGTAATATTTTGTCTCAATTTGAACGATGATAACTTAATTTATGGTTGGCAAAGAGAAGAGAGGCAGAGAGAGAGAGAGAGAGAGGGAGAGGGAGAGAGGAGAGACAGAGTTAATTACGCAAATCAGTTTAGGACATTGGAAGCGGATAAATTTCGGCCAGGGCTCTTTCGCTGGTTGTCGCGCCCCAATTGATTCGATACCTCCGAATTACCCATTCGGTGCGCCGATAATGGCCCGGCGAATTTCGGCGATTCCGATCGCCGGACCGGGCGCAGTCGATCGACAAAGGCAGCGGGATTCCGTGCCTCGACTTCGTTTGGTCGAGATCGAATAACGGGCGACGTGACTGCCAGGATTGCTTCCTCGCGAGAGATGAAAACTGGAGAAATAGGGATAAGCGCGTGTCGCTCGTGCGAATAAAATCCCAAGGCGTAGAGGAATTCAAATCGCCTTTGTCGCCGATATCATATAGCTCGAGAT